ATATATATATATATATATCCCTCCTACTATCTATCTCTGTCAATATATTTGCATCTATCTTAATTTGGTCATCTAAGTTGAGTTATATTTATATATTTATCTATTTGTTTAGCTTAGTTTAGTTGCACCTATCTATCTATCTATCTATCTATCTATCTATCTATCTATCTATCTATCTATCTGTATGTCTGTCTATTTAAACTTGGTTATATATATATATCGATCTAACCTTGTCATATCTATCTATCTATCTATCTATCTATCTATCTATCTATCTATCTATCTATCTACCAGTGTGTTGATTACTAGCTATCTCAATATGCTCATCTATCTATGTATCATCTCTGTCTCTTATTCTCTCTCTCTCTCTCTCCCTCCATCTTTATATCTATCCATCTAAATTTGGTCATCTCTCTCTCTCTCTCTCTCTCTCTCTCTCTCTTCCTCTATCTCTATCAGTATGTTCGTATCTACCTTTCTCAATATAGTCATCTATCAAAATATGGTTATATCTGTTTACTTGTCTCTCTAGGTTCTGTCATATCTCTCTCTGGCCCTCTGTCTCTCTCTCTCTCCATCCCTCCATTCCTCCATCTATCTATCTATCTATAAAATATATATATATATATATATATATATATATATATATATATATATTTTAAGCATTTCACCCCAAGCAAGGCGGGAAGCCACTAGGACGCAAGGGGTTACAGAAAATAGCAAGATCAGATAGGAGTGATAGAAGAAAGGATGAGGGTAGTGGATAGATTAAAGGCAACTGGAGATGTCGATTGACATTACACTTGAATAGCTGGAGATTATAGCTCACAGGGAAACAGGAGAAGGGAAGAGAATTCCACAGGTGAGAGGTGCGAGACATGAAGCTATTAGAGTAGAAGAGACGGCAACATTTAGGAGTTTCGACAGTGAAGGGGTGACAGCGGGATGCCAGCCTCGTAAGTCGCTGGAACTCATGACGTCTGGGAACCAGCGAATGCAGCTCCTCGGAGCAATTTCCATGAAAGTATTTGTAGAACAGACAGGGGGAGGCGACGGCGCGTCTGTGAGAAAGTGACTGTAGACGAGACGCCAGAGCAGGGCCAACCATATTGCATATCCGCTTCTGGAGCCTATCAAGAACCCCAAGGCAAACAGAAGGGGCGCCAGACCATATATGGCAGCAATACTCCATGCAAGGGCGAATTGTAGATTTGTATATCTGGAGGATCGACTCAGGGGAGAAAAACTTCCTAGCGCGGCTCAGGGAGCCAACTTTCCTTGCGGTGGACGAGGCAATTGACTCGATGTATTTATTCCATCTCAGGTCACCAGTCAACGTGAGACCGAGAAGCCGCAGAGAGTTGCTCTCGAGAAGTTGAGCGCCAGACATTCTAATGGAGGGAAGGGAAGGCTCTCTGTGGTGATTAATAGAGAGCAGTTTTGTCTTCGAAGCGTTGAAGTTGACCAGCCAATTCATGCCCCAGTTCACAATCGATTGGAGGCCCTTTTCGAGACGCACGGCAAGGTGTGTTTTGCCATATGTAGAAATTGTCTGTAAAGGGGACGTACAAATGACATTTAAAAAAAAAGAAAGAAAGAAAGCTTATTGGAAGAAGCCATGTGAAGGCAGCGGGAATGTGACTGAAATCGAGATGATAATGTAAGAAGCGATAAACTTTCAAACCCTTCTTTGGGTTTTGCCGAACATCCCAAGATATATAGCAGTGGCACCAGACCAGGTATGGCAGCAATATTCAATACACGGACGAATGGTAGATTTATGATTGTGTATAAGTGATTCTGTCAAGAAAATTGTGTAGCGGGACACAGTGAAGCAACATCTTTAGCAGCAGGACTCGCAATTGATAATACACACACTCACACACAGAGATACACATATATATATATATATATATATATATATATATATATATATATATATATATATATATATATATATGAAAGGTTCAAACACTAATATTTCAGTGTTATAATTTATTACATTGGATCGTGATTTCAATTCCAATGTTATTTTTGCTTAACTTCGGTGATCGTTCAGGAGCAACGAAAAAGCTTTAAAGAAAATGAAGCAAAATGGACACTTCTACTCAGAATCAGAAAGAGACAAATGAAAGGTCTTGGGTACATAATCAGGAAGGGAGACTTGGAGATCCGTCTATATTTTTGAGAAGAGTTATTAGGTACACTATTTACATTATTCGGACTATTGCCCTCATCTTGCCATATTTACCACAACGTTTCGGCCGTTGTACGCTCTGGCCTTCTTCAGGTGGTTGGAATGTCGAACTGAACCCTTTATTTCGCTCGCTGGGGTAGACTGTTCTAGTTTTAAGTGCCATTTCTAATAGATGTCAAGAAAGAAATATAAAGGGGAGACAGAGCTTCAAGAACATCAAAAAGCTGTAACACGAGGGAAAGTGGAAAAATCAGGCGTGGCTGACCACATATGGTGAGAAAAGAGACATCACTACCCTCTGTGTGACCAGGTTGAAATCATAGACAAAGAACATCATTTAGGAATCAGCATATATGCTAGGCCACAAAAAATCTCCTGAGCCGACTAAGCATAGAAATGAATACAATATCGGAACCAGTTATAAGGATTACCAGAGAAAAGCAATAATAACAACGAAAATTGCCATATGAGCTCGGATAAAAACATGAAATGATAACAGCAAAAATTTCATTATGCGCACTGGTAAAAAATGAGCTGAAGACATTAGGTATATAAGTCCCAGAAATTCATAGACAGATGTCCTTAAGTGCATAAAGGCGTTGGTTAGATCCAGTAACAGTGTGAGTTCAATACCTGATTAAGGCAGTGGAGAACTTGGAGAGATGAATTAACAGGAGATAACTGATAACTGACATTTTTTTTTAAGCGTTTCACCCCAAGCAAGGCGGGAAGCCACTAGGACGCAAGGGGTTACAGAAAATTTGGAGCAAGATCAGATAGAAGTGATAGAAGAAAGGATGAGAAGGGTAGTGGATAGATCAAGGCAACTGGAGATGCCGATTGACATTACATTTGAATAGTTGGAGATTATAGCTCTCAGGGAAACTGGAATAGAGAAGGGAGTTCCACAGGCGAGAGGTGCTAGACATGAAGCTATTGGAGTAGAAAAGACGGCTACATTTAGGAATTTCGACAGTGAAAGGGTGAGAGCGAGATGCCAGCCTCGTAGGGCGCTTGAACTCATGAAGTCTGGGAACCAGCGAATGCAGCTCCTCGGAGCAATTACCATGAAAGTATTTGTAAAACAGTCAGAGAGAGGCGACGGCGCGTCTGTGAGAAAGTGACTGTAGACGAGATGCCAGATCAGAGCTAATTATATTGCATATCCGCCCCTGGAACCTATCAAGAACCCCGAGGCAAACAGAAGGAGCTCCAGACCATACATGGCAGCAATACTCCATGCAAGGGCAAGTTGATGATTTGTAGATCTGGAGGATCGATTTCGAGGAGAAAAATTTCCTGGTGCCGCACAGGGAGCCAACTTTCCTTGCGGTGGACGAAGCAATTGACTCAATGCATTTGTTCCATCTCAGGTCAGCCGTCAACGTAAGACCGAGCAGCCGAAGAGAGGTGCTCTCGAGAAGTTGAGCGTCAGACATTCTAATGAAGGGCAGGGAAGGATCTCTGTGGTGATTAATAGAGAGCAGTTTTGTTTTTGAAGCATTAAAGTTGACCAGCCAATTCCTGCCCCAGTTCACAACCGATTGGAGGAGCGAAATAAAGGGTTCAGTTCGACATTCCAATCACCTGAAGAAGGCTCCCCGACTTCTAATTCCAAGTCGTTACCCATTACACCGGGAGCAAATCCAAGTTTACAGCACTTTATATTCCAAGCTGCCAACCGAAATAACTTTTTTTTGTTGGTGCTGTCCATTTACTCACTGTCAAGCGTCGACAGAGTTCAAAAGCGTTCACACAATTTTCGTCTCCTTTTGATAAATGTTCAGACAGCTTCTTCTCCATATCTGTTATTTCATGGAATAAACTCCAGAGAGAAAGCTTCCCTGAAAACTAAAATCTTTGTCGCCTTAAGTCTAGATATCAATCCTACTCGCCCTCGTAATAATCTCTTACTTTCTTCTTTCTTATAATCTCACTTACTTACACTATTTTGAGTGTCTCTTCAGCCTTATACTGGGTGAATTAAAAAAAAACATCTAAATGACAATATATTTTCCAAGATTATCAGAGGGGAGTAGTCATTATTTATGAAAATACCCGTTTTTTTTTGGGGGGGGGTTATGAAGCTATCAACAAACCGTCGGGTATATCTGATAACGGTTGGCCAATATTGCGAGGCAGGCTTCATCTTACCTCGCCAGTTCATTCCATTACAATTCGTGAAAAAGAAAGGAAAATATTTATCAACAAGGTGTCACTTTCTGCTTTATAATATGACAGAGTAATGAGGCGAAACCTCTGACATGCTCTTTGGCGATAAAAAAAAAAGGCGAAAGACTGCATTAAAAAAAAGTAAGTATTAAAAAAAAAAACGGGAAAAAAAAAATAATATATATATATATATATATATATATATATATATATATATATATATATATATATATATATATATATATATATATATATATATATATACGAAAAATGATATATCATTTTGTTTATCTCAACCGCCAAAATTTACTTTTGTTTGATATCTAAAATTTTTTTTCTTTCTTTTTTTTATACGGGTTATTTGTTTGAGTCCATTGTTCTTTTGAACTGTTGAAGCAGTTTTGCAATCCTGTTGGCTTTATTCGTTTTAGAAACCACATCTTGGTATAACAGATTGCTAGCTTATCTATAACATTGACAAGAGTCATTAATATTCAACGTATTGTTTAAACAATTGAACCGCTTCTTCGTAAACTTGATATTATTAACACAATTTTTCAGTTGGTTTGTAATGTTACCCGATTCGCTACTCGTAGCTTAGTCTGGCAAGCCAGCCCCACTGCCAGCTGCTATGCTGTTTATTCAACCTACTCGAACCCAAGACAATGATTATAGTAATTTACTAACTATAGCTTAGATATGGCACAAGGACAAAAGCTTAGAGCATCGAACTCAGTACTCAGGAGTATTTAATCAAGCAAGAAAAGGTTACTATTAGACTACGTCGAAGTGACCTAAGTTGTGATTCATTATGTGCCATAGAGACACAAAGCACCCAGTAAGGATCGAACTCACTACATAGTTGTAATTGGTGCTGTCCAATATTTACTGTCAAGCCTCGATAGAGTTCAAAAGCGATCACGCAATTTTCGTGTGTTTTGATAAATGTTCAGGCAGCTTTTTCTCCATATCTGTTATTTCGTGGAATAAATTCCCGAGGGAAAGCTTCCCTGAAAACTAAAATCTTTGTCGCCTTAAGTCTCGACATCAATCCTACTCGCCCTCGGAATAATGTCTTACTTTTCTCTTCCTGATAATCTCACTTACTAACACTCTATCTTGAGTCATTGGTCTAGGAAAATAAGCTCGCCAACAGTTACATTACGCCGAAGTGTTCTCAATACTATTTAGTGAGTATAGCTCAGATGTGGCACAAGGATGCATGTATGGGGCACCAACTAAGTATCGAACTCTCTTGACAATCCTAATTGATCTAGCGAGACCAGCTTATCGACCGTTATCTTGCGTAGCAGTGCCCAAAGACCAGGTTTTTACAGCAACAATGGGAATCAAATCAAAAGACGAACATTGCCAGGAGCTACATAAGATAGGAAGTTGTGAAGAGCCGTTATTTCTCAAGCTCTAAATGAACATATCGCATCCAAGAAGAAAGATGAAGGATTTTCGAGATCAGAAAAAAATTAAACCTCTGTTTTTTGTTATTTTTACGTTTGTTTTTTTTTTTTAAATAATTTCATTTTTTTTTTTTCACTGACGAGTACTGAAGAATGGATCGGCCGGAAAATTGGTTTACAATATCAACCTTATAAAGAAAGGGTTCGGTTAAATAAGCACGCTTGTATTTTAAACCTTTATTATCCTTGTTAGTAACAGGTGTACTGAAAGAGCTCAAAAAATTTTTTTCTTTAATATTATTGACATGTTGTGTCAATTTTTTTTCGATTTAACACTGATAAGTAACAAGCAGTTTCTAGTTTTAATAATAACATTTTGGTGTATTGCGACATTTTTTTCTTTTATATATGGTGTCCTATCGCCAGTTTAAAAGTCAGATATCTTCCTACAAAGAGCAGCTCCCATCAAACTAAATGTAGCTTCTCCCTCCATTTTTCTCTCTCTATCTTTCTCACTACCTCTCTGTTTCTATTCTTCTACTGTTTTCTATCTCTTTCTCCCTCTATCACGACTCCTCGCTCTCCCTAATTATTTTCCATATCTCTCTTTCATTCAGTACTTCCAAACATTTCACCTCAATTAAAAGTAAAGCGATAATGCCACTAAGAGACTACTGAGAGGGAAAGAGAATGTGAAAACTTTGAAAGGAACCGGAAACCCAGTCCTAAACAGGAAACAAGGGATAAATCTTTACTCCTGTTCAAGAGATCAGGGAGGAGTGTGAACGCGACGAGAAGTGAACCTGTCTACTCCTATTGAAGAAAAATAAATAAATATTTACATTTATTCATAAATTTCAGAGTCCAAGACGAAGACGTTGGAAGTATAATATTAAAGTAGACTTTAGAAGGAACCGGAAACCCAGTACTAATCAGTAAACAAAGGATAAACTTCAACTCCTGTTCAAAAGACCAGGGAGGTGTGTGAACTGGACGATAGGAGAACCGGGTCATACTTTGTGGTCACTTATTTCCCGTATCTATCTACCTATCTGTCTATCTATCTATCACATCACACACACACACACACACACACACACACACACACACACACACACACACACTCTCTCTCTCTCTCTCTCTCTCTTTCTCTCTCTCCCTTTCGTTCTCTCCCTTTCTTTCTCACTGCCTCTGTTTATTTCTCTCTCTCACGCTCTCTTTCTCTCTCCCTCTCGTCATTTCTCACTCTCTCATTCTATCCTCAGTTTACCTCTCTTATATTATTTCTTTTCTCTCGCACTCTCTTTCCCACTTTCTTTATTCTCTCACTCAATCTCAATGGCTCTTACATTTCTTTTTTAATTCTGTTCCTCTTAACCTTTGTAGCCATGATGTACATGAAGCTGATCGATCTATCCTATCAAATTCTTAATAAAATAGTCACTCTACTAAATTCACTAATATATTATGTTGTATGTATTGACTAACCCTCCGTTATTACTATGGGGGGTGGTTAAACGCTCAACAAAATGTTTTCTTTAATATTTAACAAAAGGCAAGTCATATTCTCATGATGAGTCAAGTAGCTATCTGAATGCTTCTTTCAAGTAACGATAAAGAGTTCCTGGCTTTAGTAACAATATTTGTACGAATTAGAAGCACTTGACAATAAAGATTGTCTAATTATTGTTGTAGAAACACATGGAAATATCACAATGAGCTTAATGTACTAATATAACACAGGATATCTTTTTTTGTTTCAGATTCAGTGTACAACAATCCAATAATGACAAAGTGGTTGAAGTGAGGATTTTTACGTAGGTTAAATTTAAATATGTCCTAGAAGTACAGATTTTAAGAAATGTATAACATAACCCTGCCGGTCGAACAACAACCAGTCACGATTAATGGGTGTGCTTTACAGCAGCGGGTTGGCAACCTTTTGAACTTCATGGACCATTAAATGTATAATTTTAAATTTGGCAGACTACTAATATGAATTTAGTAAATATTTAGTGAATAATATGAATTTAGTAAATATTTAGCAAACAATATGAATTTACTAAATATTTAGTAAATAATATGAATTTAGTAAATATTTAGTAAATAATAAGAATTTAGTAAATCATATGAATTTAGTAAATATTTAGTGAATAATATGAATTTAGTAAATATTTAGTGAATAATATGAATTTAGTAAATATTTAGTAAATAATATGAATTTAGTAAATATTTAGTGAATAATATGAATTTGTAAATATTTAGTGAATGAATGAATTTAGTAAATAAGTAAAATATGAATTTAGTAAAATTTATTTAGTAAATAATTTAGTAAATTTAGCAAAATTTATTTATGAATTTAAATAATATGAATTTAGTAAAATTTATAAATTAGAATTTAGTAAAATAGTAAATCATATGAATTTAGCAAATATTTAGTAAATAATATGAATTTATTAAATATTTAGTGAATAATGTGAAATAAATATTTAGTGAAAATATGAATTTAGTAAATATTTAGTGAATAAATAATATGAATATTTAGTGAAATATTTAGTAAATAATGAAAATATGAATTTGGTAAATATTTAGTAAATAATAAATTTCAAATATTTAGTAAATAATATGAATTTAAGTAAATATTAGTAAATAATGTGAATTTAGTAAATCTTTAGTAAATAATATAAATAGTAAATATTTAGTAAACAATAATGAATTTAGTAAAATTTAGTAAATATTTAGTATTTAGTAAATAATATGAATTTAGTAAATATTTAGTAAATAATATGAATTTAGTAAATAATATGAATTCAGCAAATATTTAGTGAATAATAAATTTAGTAAATATTTAGTGAATAATATAAAATAAATTGAATAATGTAAATTTGTAAATAAAATAATATGAATTTAGTAAATATTTAGTGAATAATATGAATTTAGTAAATATATTAAATACAAATATTCAATATAAATTCTTTGGCCATATTTGTAAAAGAATTTAGGAAACTGAATTTATTTCGATCGCTGGGGTAGACTGTTCTAACCACCTGAAGAAGGCCGGAGCGTACAACTGCCGAAAACGTTGTAGACAAATATGGCGACAAAGATGAGGACAATAGTCCGACTAATGTAAATACTGTACATAATACCTCATTTATAGACAAAATAAATAAAAGAATTTAGGAAAAAAAGAGGGAAATACATTTATATAATAATAATTGGAACACTTTTATTTTATTAATATGAAATGCACCCATTAAAAGGTAAGAAATTTCTAGTTTTATAAAAATTGAAGTAATGTCCCAATTTTTCTGCGGACCATCCAAAGTTTTGCACAGACCATCAGTGGTCTGTGGTCAACCGGTTAGCAAGTATTACCCTAGAGGACGCTTCGTACCTTGAGAGACTACTGAGCCTTACTCCTATCGCTGGCCTCAAGTGGAACACGTACATTTGATCAATCGTTAAAGATGCAGGAAAAGTGTTCGGTTCTTCGCTTCAGTAAGTACCTGACTCCTCCTGCTTTCCTCTGGCATTACAAGTGCCAGACCAGATCAGGCCTAAAATGGAGTACTGTTAGCTTATTTGGTCAGGAACTGCCCAGTTCGTCACTCTCCAGTATCGACAGTGTCCAATAGCGTCCTCGAGTCAGAGTCCAACGCGTTTCTCATAGAAAGGATGCGGTAAACCTCTTACTGCACTATCGCTGCTTCTATGGAAAGTGCTGGGACGAACTGCATCCCTTGGTTCTATTAGTTCTAACCTTCAGGGCTAGCACCTGCCATACCACTTACATTTTAACAAAACACTGGCTTATTCCCTCCGTATTCCATTGATTAGAAGTTCTACTCGAACAGCTTCTTTGTGGAATCGACTCCTATGAGGATGTTTCCCCTATCATTGTAAACTTGGCATGTTCTTACACTCTAACCCTTTACCTCGAGTGTCACCCGGGCCTTGTACAGGATGATCTTCCCTCTAACAAAATAAACTCCAGTAGTCCCTTGCTGTTTTTGAACACCCTATAAAATGATTTTCTTTAATATTTAGCAAGTGGCAAAACAAATTTTCACGATGAGTCAAGTAGTTTTCTGAAGGCCTTTGTCAAGTAACTTTAAGTAGTTTTTGCTGGCAGTTATAACATCTGCGAGAATTGTAACCACATAGTTGTAAAATAGAGTCTGTAATACAATGTTCCCAGTAAACTTGTCGTTGATTGATTTGAATATGGAAAAAACAGTAGAAAAGGATTTTTATCATTAATAGATTTAAAGAAACCACGCCCAAAATAAAGTTAAACCTATTTTTTGTATATTTGAATTTTTGAAGCTTAAAATTCTTCTTTGTTTTTCTTTTTCATTATTATGTTAAAGGCAGCCATAGTTGTTTCCCTCTCGAATTACTCGACTATAAATGAAATTTTCGGACCTCACTTATAAGCGGGAGTTAAACTGCATTGAATAAAGCTTTACTAAATGCTTAAATGCTCTTCTGTTTTTCTTTTCTGGGGTGAAGGCAGCTATGGTTGTCTGCCCTTCGAACTGCTCGACTATAAAAGAAATATTGCATTATTGAATAACTTACCCCAAATCGAGATATTTCGATGCAAGACCCAAACAAAGGACAAAACTGTCACGAGAACAGTAATCCAAAATGTTATTTCCAAAGTTACAGCATGCAACATTTTAAAAGAATATTCTTGGCATATGTGATGGAAAGTAACCATAGTTGTTCACAAAAAAGAATGTTCGACTCTCAATTAAAAGTCAAATGGTATTAAATAAAGCTTCCCTACAACCTTTCATATTCATCTTTTCGAAATGATTATTTAAACCAAAACCTATATAAAACCTACTAAAAAACTAAAACTTATTTAATAGGTAACTATATAGCCTAATGTAAACTTGAGTTCTGATTGAACCATAATATTTCATCTTGGTAAGTGAATGCAGCAATGATTCTATTTAAACATGCGTCAAAAATGTCTTCTATAATCATCAGAATTTCCTTTGGTATTAATCTATTGTATTATTACATTTCAAGAAATGATTTTCTATAATATTGAGCAAAGGGCAAGATAAATTTTTCACGATGAGTCGATTAGTTTTCTGAATACGCCTGTCGAGTAACTTCAAGTAGTTTCTGCTTGTAATTATAACATCTGCAAGAATTACAACCACATGATCGTAAAATAAAAACTGATTGCTTCGAATGTGGAAATTAAAAAAAAACAATCGAAGAGTATTTTGTTCATGAATACATTTAAGGAAACCAGGCTCAAAATAACTTAAGTGAATATTGATAGTGAAAAACTTACCTCAAATCGAGATACTTTGTCGCTAAACCCAAAGAAAGCCAAAACTGGCACTAGAACAGGTAGCCAAAATTTTATTTCCAAAGGTACAGCATGCAAAATATAAAGAGAACATTCTTGGGATATGTGGTGGAAGGTTATCATATGTGTCTACACTCAAAAAGAAATGTAGGGCCTTCTATTAAGAGTTAAATTGCATTGAATAAAGCTTTCCTACAAGCTTAAACGTTCTTTTCGAAATGATTATTTGATGTGGGGCCAAAGTTGGGACCACAGAAGGAAAACACGGAACACGGATTACATGTAAGAAAGATATATTAACAACAGGTTACAGAGATAGTGTAAGCGGAGCTTACTATATGTTAGTGTCCAATACTGGTAGTCGTACGCGGCTCTCACTGTCTCTCTATCTCTCTGTCTGGAGTGTTGTGTCGCATACTTAATATAGACCTGAAAGAGTCTATTGTGTAGGTAGTTCCGGTCTCACAATAATATTCAAACCAAGAACCTATTTAATAGGCAACTATATAGCCTAATGTAAACTTGAGTTCTGATTAAACCACAATATTATCTTAGTATATGGTAAGGGAATACAACTATGATTTTATTAATCATGAGTCAAATACATGTTTTATAAGATTCTTAGAATTCTACTTGTTATTAATCTATTGTAATATTACACTCCACAAAATGATTTTCTTTAATATTTACCAAGTGGAAGACAAAGTTTAACGATGTGTCTTCTGAATACTTATTTCAAGTAGTTTCTGTCTGCATTTGCGAGAACTGCAACCACATGACCATAAAATAAAGACTGTAATAGAAAGTCCACAGTAACCTTCTCGTTGATGGCTTCGAATGTGCAAAATAAAATCAGAGTAGAACAGGATTTTGATTATAAATAGATTTAAAGAAACCACGTTCAAAATTTAAACTTATTTTATTATATTTGAATTTTTAAAACCTTCTGATGGGATTTTATTGGTTGAAAATATATAATAAAAGCGATGTCATGGAAAAAGAAAAACGTCGTTTTGATATATTTTTT